CCAGCAAAGTTTCGCCGAAAAGGGATCAAGAGGGTCTTCTACAATTTTCTTACGTGTCTTGTACAATCGGTTGCCAGTGGCAACGCCTCCAGTTACCTCTATAGGTTCGGACCAATTTTTACGCGTTTGCTTCTTCAAAGCGCTAAAGAAAGACCGATCCCGGAGTAAGGACGAAAACGTAGACGTTGTGGGTTAGACTTAAAAGCGAAAGAACGACCCTTCTATCGATAGAAGCGAGCCTGACGGTTTTCACCTGCGAAAAGGAGAGAAGAAGGAAATTACGCGACGTGAAATCTGACGAGAACGTACACAGTGGAAAAGGAGGAAGTGCGTGTTCGTTTGATGTAACATCCTTTTAATGTTTCTCGTCTCTCCTTGTAGCTTCTTTCTGTAAATTGCCATCGAAAGTGCAAATGGACGAAAGCCAGAGGAATTTTTTTACGCCTAACACGTTTCATTGGAATCGAATATCGAAATATCCATAGCGTATCTGTTTGAAAATGTTGGAAAATAGACGCGCGTACGTCTGTATTGCAGGGGCGAGGAGTGAAAGAGAGGAAGACAAAAGGAAAACGCCATGAGACGAGCGCATCGCGTATGTGTCGAACGAACGAATGTGCAATAAAACAAATTTATTTCTCTTCGAGATATGCAAGAGAATAGAGCGCTGTTCGTCAATACTTCGAGTTATTATGTTACGTATAAAATTGTCATTTTGTTCTATATAAATTTTGTATTTAATAAAACGTTAGATATTGTGTAACCGAGTGATTGCCGATTTTGTCATTAGGTGGTGATGATAATAATAATAATAGTAATAATAGTATTATTTCAACAGAAAAGTAGCGATATTTTTTTTAAAGAAGCAAAGAATTACAGAAAGTTTCACAGTTTATCGTAGATTGTATCTTGCACGAAAGCGAACAGAGAAACGCTTAGTTGTCGTACGACAATTTTCAATTATTAGAAACTTTCTATCGTATCGTACGTACAATCGGCGAAATTTCCACGAAACCATCCATATCTTTCGATAAAATCTTACGATTGCTCCCTTCCAGTGGCAATTTTCTATAAAATCTGAAATAAAGTCGAATAAAATAGAGATCAACGACAATTTCTTCGCTGTTTTCATATCGATAGCTCGAGTAGCTGTCATTTTTTCGATTTACGTGAAAAATGCTATTTGCCTTTGACGAAATCAAATTTTCCAACAAATTTTCTTGTCAAGGTTTCTTATCGATAGACGTCCACGTTTCGTTTACCGCGTTCGATAATTCGCTAATTTAATTTCATTGCCCGCAAATGACAAACTTTTTTATTTATTTTCCATGGAATCTGGCAAACGACCTGGCCATGTTAAAACATTGCAATTATTTTGGCGCAACCACCGTTTTTCGTGTCTGGACGTGCGAACCGAAGCGTTTTCGTGTCGATAAATAAAATTATTATCTTCGATTCCTTCTGCGAACGATATCAACACCATTTTTACACACACGTTTCTCTTCTAGTTTTTCCAAAATAATACGTAGGAATAACTGTAAGATTTTAAAAATATGAGAAATGCCCGTAGAAAAATCTGTAAGTACAAAGAAACTAGCTTTTCAAGAGGAAAAGGAACCTTATGCGTCAGTATTTTTTTTTTTTTATTTAGTTGTTTACATTCACAATTTATCCAATTTGGACATTTGGTAGAATTTTTTGGCTGTGCGCGTCAGTACGGTCGAAATTCGTGAAAAAGTAAAGCGCGTTTATAGAAAATCCTGTGTCGCTTCTCTCGTTTTTTTTTTTTTTTTTAAATTTACAATCGACTGTCGCATTGAGAATTTTCAGTAATTTTTTCTGGCATGGGGCAGTGACATGGCTAATTACTTATAACAAATTAATACTTATTATAGATAATTATAATTTGTAAGTATTATAAATAAGTAAATATTACTTAATTTAAATAACTAATTGAATCTAGCGTTTAGGTCTCTCGTTACGAGGAAAACTGCATCTTTCGTTCGTTTAGACAGACGACATAGATACAAGTCAAAAAACAATCAACCAACGTTTATTGGAACCTACATTTTTTTTCTATAGAGGCGATGTTACCATTTTCTGGCATTGTTAATAACTATTTATAAAGGGAAGTGGCATATTAGTATTATTCCACGATATTATCATCAGTATGTACGATAAAACATTTAGCAATAAAAAAAATCGACGTTTTTCGATTTTGCCATTTGCAGCGTATCCTACAAATACCCTTCGAACGTGTTACTGAAAATTCTCAATGCGAGAATTGATTGTAAATTTTAATAAATAAAAAATAAATGAAAAAAAAACGTGTATAGCGACTTTATCGAAATTTCGGGCACCGTACGGTAACAATGAAATTTTGTATTTTGAGCCAACTGTAACCGACTAATAAATAAACGGTATACGTTTTTTCAAAGATTTTACCACATGGAATCTTTGCTTTTACGACGATCGCGCGACCGAAAGAATTTTCAGCGAACAGTCGTTAGAATGTTAGTCGAACGAGTCTTAATAACCGAACACTACGAGCCCTTAGTTAACCTTCGTTGTCGATCGGAATCGCGTTCCTTCCTCGAGCCTAAGTGTCGCATTCTCTCTGGAATGTTTTATTAAATCGAGTAGAACGCCCGACGATTATTCGTACGTCGTTCGTTTCGTCTTTGTTCTCGCGTAATTGCTTTTCTATGATACCGCGAACGCCGTAAATTTTCTCACGATTAAATTCGTGGGAAAAAATTAAATCGGATATCCGACAGGCGCGCCGTCTGGTGGGAAAAACATTTCGTGATATTTGTTGGTAATTTAGTGGGAAAAATTCGAAAGAGATTAATCGCGTGGCAAAAGAAAATGGCGGTAAGGAAAGCGCGATTCGCAAACTTCGCGAACTGCAGATGGCGCCACTGAATGGGACGTGGAAATACGAACAACGAAATTCGCAATTGCACTTTTCGCACGAATACTTGACAAATATATCGATATATATTAGGTTTCATGGCGCGTATTTAATTTTACGTCGTATACGCACGAAAAAACCGATGCTATTCGATCGATGCAATTTTTCGTACAACGATATACAATTTTAATTATATAAAGTTTACTTCTAGCTGCTATTTGTCGATCTTATTTTTGTAAATTGTCCTTTAGGTTTCTAACCATATTATATTTACGTTGCTATGCGTTAAACTCGTTCATCGTATTATAAATTTTCCGCGACTAGTCTGCAACGAAGGAAAGATTCATCGACAATTTTGCTCGATAGATCCAGTTAGAATTTCGTTCGAGATAAAGCAAGATTATAACGTTACCGATAAGAAAACACTGTAAAAGTGGGTGATAATAGTAAATCGAATCTTCGTATTACGTAAGCGACCTGCTACAAAATATTAAATAGCGAAGAATAGTTAGATAAGCGTGTCTGAAAATAGGAAGATAAGTATTTCGTCAGAAACCGGATCGTTTATTTCGTGATTTCGCTAAAAATCGTATTCTTTCCATTTCTACTCGTAATTCCTTAAAAAAGGTCGCAATTTTCTTTTTCTTTAATACTAGAAACAGGCTAAGGCGACGATCTGTAACGACCAACGCATATATTTCGAAAGTACCACAAATTTCGTATCCACTGGTGTTTCATTTCATGAAAGACCGAGAGACGTTGAATACGTCGATGGTTGAGTCAAAATTCGAACAGATACGATCGTAAAGTTATGCGCGAAAAGTTGTAAAATAATATAAGCGAGGAGCGCGAAAAACGAGAGAGAAGACGACGATGAAACTTTGAATTTCTTTCTAACCGATGGAAATCTATTGACCAAAGTTTTATCGTACGCCTCGGCTAAAGATCCTGTTAAACAGGGTGACGTATCGTTAAACGAAATATTACGATTTGTAAGGACGATTTGCAAACGTAGAAAATGATTGACTGGCGACGCAGGCGCGACGATCGTAGTTTGGACTTGGAATCGGCGTTAAACACAGTTTCGCCGTTCTCGCAAATTTTGATTACGAATAGAATTAATCGAACGTTACGAAAGATATGGTGGAAAATATTCTGGAAAGCAGAGAATTTTCATCGTGTCCCTTTGGTCCTTTGATTTACAAAATGGCGCGGCTTTGCCTGGGCGGCATTATGGTTTCCCCATCCTATAGGGTGAAACTCCATTCCACAAAGCTACCCTTCACGTGGGGTGAACTCTCGATCCCTCGCATACTGAATTCGAAACTAACGTAAGGGAGGGGATAAAGGGAGAAAGGGTGTCCAAAAGACACTCCCGGGAAATTCCCGGAAAATGGTGTCGGTGCAGCTGGGTTCGCTGGTACCGCCATCTCAGAATCCTTGTTCATAGTCGTTTAATGAAAATGAACATCGATCGTTGGTAATGTAGGTTTCCTATTTCGAGAACGCGAATTCCGTATTTGGTCAATAGCCGAACACCGCGTCCTGGTTCACGAGATTACAGTCGTGATCATCGAAATTATTTTTTTTTTACTTGGATGAATTTTACGATCAATTCTCATTGAGAATTATAAGTAAATTTTTCTAGCGTGGTACTATGTCGTGTTTAATAAGTGTTTATCGTTATTCGATTCTAGTAGAATCTAGCGCTTAAATCTAAAGGGTAATGTCTTTTTAGCCCGCGGATCTGATTCGACGTGTCAAAAAATTGAGTAACCAGTGAATTGTGGCGATTGTTAACTCTTACGTTATATCTATTACTGAATTTGGATATTTCTTCTTTGATCGTGGGTATCTTGAGGTCGCGATGTATTCGTTGGTAACATATCAAGGTGCATCTATCAAGGATCTTGGAGTTTTCGATTGGAATCGTTGAAGAATTTCTATGTTGGAATTAATTGCTGTTCCCCATAGATGACGGTCGAAATGGAAACTAAATTTGACCAGAAAATTAGGAAGAAAACATGGCTACGAAATACAAACGAAATAATCTCCTTTACATTTTTCCATCGAAACAACGATTTTCTTTTGCAACTGAACGTCCATTTTTAATCGTTTATACGTACACGAGTCTACCTTTACGTTAGAATTTTGCTTCAGCAAGTACGATAACAATTCTACTTGCAGCCAAGCGAGTTTCTTTGTTTCGACGTTGTATCGACGGACGATACCTCGCCTTCCTTCGAATCCTCCGATTCTTCTTCCGGCGCTATCAACTTGCCCATCATAGCGGCCGAGTAATTTCCCCTTCCTGGATCGTCGAAGACGATTCGATCGTCGAGAATCCATAAACTGTAACGAATCTCGGAAAGAAGTTGGAAGCCCACGCTGCGCGCCCATGCTTGACTGGCACCGCACGTGAAAAGGCCACCGATCGCCCGTATTCTCAAAGACACCGCAACTTGCACGCAAGCGTTCAGCAACGCGATCTCCACGCCTTTCTCTCGATAAGACGGATGTACACAGAGAACGTATACGCAGTAATACTCCTGCTGATCGAACGTTTTGTGCGCGTTCGTTTGCTTGATCAACGTATTCAGCAGATGCATGATCTTGCGCAGACTCTCTCCTTGCAGGATCTACGCGATAGAAACGCATCCCCGTTAGAATCCTTAGACTAAAATTTCTTCTTGCAATATAAAAAAAATCGCGTGGAATCATTGGCAGGAATTTTCGAGTTTCGCAAAATTTCTTTCGCTCTTTCCACAATTTCCGCAGCTACGCGTTGCGTTCCGTCGTTGATCGCGGCGTGGCACTCGTTAAAAACGCGTTAAGTAAGAGGATTCGTTCTCGAGGTTTTTGCCCCGTCGAAGCTTCGCTGGAAGGCTATCGCCAACGCGTTCGCCTTTCGCGGCGCAAATCGCGATCGTACCTGCACACGATGGTAAGTGTCGGTTTTCTCAGGGTCGCTGTTAATTCGCGCGACAACCGTTCCAACCACACGCCCAGATTTCATACTGGTAGCGATCAGGCTTGTCGTGTCCTTCATCCACGTTCTTACGAGCTCCAGGTAACCGTTCACCGACGTTTCATCTCGGAGCAACGAGGACGCCTTGCACATAGGCTCGTCGCGAAAGAAGTGGCGCTGTGGAAATCGGACGACGCTACAACCTCTCAGACCAGACACTTACAACCGGATACGAAGGTGGTAAAAAAGGTTGCGCGACGAATCTGCACGGCTTCGTACGCTGCATGATTTCGTTTCGTAGCTAAACTTTGATCAGACGCAAAGCTTCGTCGTACTGCGATTCCCTCAAGTCCGATATTCTACATTCGGCCGACGAGTGCCATTCGAGAGGAGCTTTCATCCGAGTCTCCACTGCCAACGCGAATTCGTCTTTTTCCTCGATCGCGTCCATTTCCATAGGTAGCCGATATCCTGCAGATTCGGTACACGACGAGCGTACTGCGGTTAACTTAAACTCGCATTTCGTAGAGAAAAGAAACGAAGATCGCGTAACGCGTTGATATAGAAATTCCGAATGTGTCTACGAACGAATGCGTCGAGCCGAGGATTCGATAAGGGAACAACTTCAAAGTCGAGAATCGTCGGGAAGTTTGGAAGCAGCGTTAGGTGAAATTCGTGCGTGCGAAACGGTTGAAAATTTCCAATTGAAATTCCTTTATCAGAGATATCCTTCGGACAGTTTCTTTCAGTTTCATCGTAATATGTTTGCCAAGAGACAAAGTGCGAGAGACAATTCGATCGAGTCTCGCAGGCGCAGCTCGATCAAGGAAAGCGATTTCTTTTCGCTGAATCTTCGTATCCTGGCGATCAGAAAGTTACAGGAGAAGGACGATCCGTACACGGTGGACGCGTCTATGGTGTGGCAGAGACTGTCGGCGGGCTATCGGATCGTCGACCTTCGGTTAAACAGATTCATGCAAACGCTCCACTTTGTACTAGTACATCGCCGCCCGAAGTACAGTTTATTACGCTTAAAAGATATCCGTAAATTTCGAAGCAAATGTTTACTCGATCGCACCGATCACCCTATACTATGTCGTACGCTCGTTATTCTAAATGGAAATAACTTCCTTTGCTCTTGTGCACCTTAAAACACCGATATTTCAAAGAAATTGCACGAATATGGCGAACGCTTCGGATTAGAGCGAATCAGATTAGAATTACGCGTGTTTCAGGCCTATTTTTGTCGAGCGGAACCGCTGCTTAAGGCCGTCGGTTTGTTCGACGACGCCGTCTCCATGAAAATGTTCATGAACGGGGTGTTCAAGCATATGGAAAGTATGATTAGCTTCTGTGCAATTAAAGAGGGAACCAACGATCTCGTAGGTGTACTCGTCGCCTCGATGTTCGAAAAATCTCAATGGTACATCAAGAAGGAACTGTACAGCATCGTGAAACACGTCTTAGTAAGCATAGAAATCGTCGATGAACGATTAACCGTAATTAACGTCGCGTTTCAGCAAATCTACGAATATCGTCGTTCGAGGTTACCAAAGGACCGATGGGTTCGCTCTCGGTTTAAACAGAGATTTCACATTTACCAATTTATCGTTTAGCTGTTATATTTACCATGTCCTCTTTTTTTTTTTGTAGAAAACGTAGCGATAAATAGTTTTCCGTTTGTAGCTAGGAGAGACGTTGCGTCAGGTAATGACGTTGAAAGGCTACGTCACTACCAAGGCTCGGACGCACGAAATAATGAACGTGGACGGACTCGTATGGATCGACATCCTCTGTGTAAAACCCGAGCATCAGAATAATGGCATCGGTACCGCGTTGGTACGTTCTTGCATGGCTCGAGCGAGTTACCTCGCGACCGCTTGCGCCGGACAATTCACTTCCGGAGCTGCCCAGACCATCGGTACGTTTCGTTTCGTCGGCCGTTTCGCGACAACGACCAAGCGGTTCGCGTCGTCTTTCAGATAACGCGTCAACGCGATCCGATACTTTCAGCCAGGAGGTTAAATTTCCAAACGCTCTATGAAATACCGTACGAACATTTACACAAGGAGAAGAGCAAATTCAAAGTTTTCGGACACTGTCATCCGGAAAATTATTCTATAGCTTGTATGGCTGTTCGAGTGTCACGACCAAAGTTGCAATTACCAATGGCGCTTAGTCCCACGTACGAGGAGAAACGAGCAAACGATCGAATCAAGGCCGACAAGAAGCGAAAGAAAGCGAAAAAGAAAGAGTAGGACATATACCGCTACGCGTTCAGTGTATTTTCCTTCCAACGATCCACGTTTCTAACGTTGACTCTCGCCGTTTGCTTTTCTCGTTGTTTCACTCCGCTGAAAATCTTCCAACTCGAACGCAATTATACTTATTTTCTAAAATGGAAAACACTGGTCTGCAGATAGAACGTCGACGGACGAAACGTCGTAGCGGAGATGCAACATAGCTGCGGAGTTACGTATTAAAAAAGTGTATAGCGATAGCGATCACGAATCTTTCTACGATCATGTACGTATACTTTTTTGTACAACCATGAATATTAAAAGCATATATTGTACGTAAAATCGTTCGTTGTATGCTGAAGCAAGATCGTTCCCGATGGTAGAGTATCGACCTTCGACAATTTTGCGTGACTCCGATGCAAATACGATCGTGCGATACGATCGCGCCCGTGATTTTTAAAAGTACCTGAGAACAGAAATACAATTTACGTCGTACCGCATCCGGTGGGGCGTTCAACTTTACGATTCTTCGCGACACGTACTTTTTTTTTACAATTCGTCTTTCCATTGACGTTGGGTGTCAAAATCCGCTCGCACCGGTAAAGTTTGCCAGAAGTCTATTCTCTCCCGCAGAAGATTCTCCGACATCCGAATGTCGTCTTGTCCTATGTGAAGATACTCGAGATTCTGCGTTCTAACCGGTTTCCATTTGATCGGTATCTGCTCCGACACTTCCGGCGTAGGATTGCTGCAATATTAATTAGTCTCTCAGCGCTCGATATCGCATCTTCCAAACAACGATCTAACGGATAGCCGACAAATTATTTCTATCGCGCGATCGTATCGGAAATACTTACCCGGAGTTCGCAAAGTTGTACCAAAGGCTCGTGAGAACGTCCACCATCTCGAGGTCCTTCTCGCTCAGCGGTATATCCTTGAATAATTGTTCTCCGACAGGAAACAGGTACTGAAGTTCGTCCGCGTGAGATACTCCGTAATTATTGTTAACATCGCCAAATATCCTGCTGAAGGACGCGCTTCCTCTGTACGACAGATAGTAATAATACACGGGAGAAGACTGCTTCTCCAGATAGTTGCGCACCGAAGTGCGAGCCGCGTGAGTGAACCAAGCGTCGCTGAACATCTGTTAAAAATATTCGAACGATTACGACGAGCAGGAACAACTTATCGCTTGCCCCGAAATTAATCGTAGGACGTTACGAACGTATCGGTCGAAAGATTTGCTAAATCTACTTTGACTCGAACAAACATCGTAGCTGGCATGATATCTGCATCTTCGTAGCACGACGTATCCGGCGGTCTTCGTTGCGGCAGTAAAAAATTCGCTGCAACGTAGCTGTATACGTCGATGATTTCGGAGCAGCGAATATATCGAAAGACGAGCTAATTGCCAGGACCGATGGAAAAATAGCAACTTCGATAGAGTTGGCGAATAACGTCGAATAACATCGGTCGCCGAATTCTGAACAACTTTTTCTACTTTATACAAAGTTGAAGATTAGATGTTGCGATTCGTCTGCGTGCGCGCAGATGTGGTCGTATCGACAAGTATTTACGCGAGTCACTACCTACTTCTTCGTATTTGAAATTCAACGACTGAACTTTTTATCGCCTTTTTTCATAATTTATACAGATGCAAATATTTAAAAGAACGTTGTCAAAATTCACGAGTACACAACACGTTGACAGCCGAGCACGGCCGCTATGATATCCAACGCGTTCGTTCTCGCGTAACTTTGAAAGTAAAATCGACCACTCGTTATACGTCTAGGAAAAACTTGTTCAGAACGTCGACGCGTTTGTTCGACGACCTTCGTCGCAAATTCTACTTTATTCGAACGCGTAAGTTTCGCGGCGAACTCACGTTGATCAGCTGGAATCGCGTGGAATTGTCAATGGCAGCCTGATCGAAATAGAACTTGCGGATTTCGGCGGCCACGCGTTTCTCTTCGCCTTTACGACACGTTTCGTCGAACACCAACGTCATCGGAGCGAGATCCAAGAAATTCTCGTCCAGCTTCTTAACCAATTCTCCGTTGTCTCGTCCGTACAATCCTAATGAAAAAAGAAAAAGAAAAGAAAACGAGCAATTATATCGGTCGTAAAGTTTCACGAAGGGAAATAACGTTAAAGATCTAACGTGGAACGAGAGAAAACGAGTCGTGCGCTTAGCCCGAAAGTACCTGGTACTATGAGCGATCCCTCCTCGGACATAATTCCTGTCATCCACGGAATGTCTGATAAGCGGCCGTTCCTCGACGTAACTACGGGATCTTCCGTTAAGAATGCACCAGGGTGAACAGGTTCGATCGCAGGTTTGAAGTATATCACCGGACAGTAAGAAAATTCCTAACAGAGAAATAGAAACAGTCGACTTTTACAATGTCCGTATATCGATTCCCGAAATTCGGTTCCCAAAATTCTCTTACAACGTTATTCTAGATTTCGTGACACGGATGCTATACATAGATTTTGTTGGATCCTCGCTTTCACCGTTCTCCATATAACTCGATATCGCCACGATAACTCGAGCGGAGCTGTAGAAACGCCGCCTATCCCTTGATTTCCATGATTTTTGGGTAATCGTAGAATATCTTGAACTTTCTCGTCTACGTTTTCTTGTACGCGACCGGTGGATTCGTTTGGTTTGCGAGATACGCGCGAGAACCTCGCCGCACTATGCATTGAATTCCACTTATATCGAGTTGGCAACTAAGCGATCGCGGATTTTGTCATTAGGTGGTATTGACAAA